TGTAGTTGCGCTTTTAGACTTGTAGTTGCAGTTTGCACTTCAGGGCCACCGTACTTTAGTCCGGAAAATAAGGTAATCTAATAGCTTTATATTTCATTTCATTGCAAATGTTAAAGGGTTGCACATGATATATGGAAACTAAAATGTCTGCTATTAGAAATATAAGATGTTGTAGTTTTCCATAGTGTTCTGATGGGTTCAGGATGCATACCTAGATGTGACTGGTAAAGCTGCTGACCTAATGACCTACGATTGTGGGCTGGAGAGAGTAGAAAAGCAGCAGGTCTAACAGCAGAGATGCAGCACCTGTCAGCAGCCCTGAAGCCGCTCTCTCTGACCTTCAGGTGGCGTGCTGAGCTGTCACAAAGGCGGACATTAAAACAAGGCTTGCAATTAGTCCTGCGCTGGACAGGGAGTGAGAATAGTGATGAAACCTTTCCCCAGGTTCATGTAGCAGTCGAGTGTGTAGATGGAGCAGTTTGGGTAGCAGTACCTGGAACAGAATTAGGTTTAGTAATCCCATCCAGAGGCAGTAAGCATGCTGGTGGCCTTTTGAGGATTATTAGCAGAAATAAAAGTTCTGAACTTTACATTCATATTACACAGAGTGATCAGGTACTCAAATGGCAAGACATTGTCCACAGTGGGACGCTCTAGGAACAGTTCAAAAGAGAAACCTGTCAGTTAGCAGTTTTTTTTTATTATTTTGAAAGCACCTACCATAATTTGTGACTGAATACATCTTTGATTCAGAAGGTATTCCCTGATATCAGTATCATCTCAGCAAAATGTCACAAAACTCCTGAACTAAAAGAAAGTAGTGCAAAATAAAAAATAGAACAAGCAAAGAACCAAGGCGTGATGAAAGGGTGCAGCTGACATCATACATCTTATTGTAATTAGCTGCCTACCTGTTGTCAGGAGCTCTTTTAAATGAGCACACTTCCATGCTCAGTGGAACACATGAGTCCTGATATATGCCTGAAACCAGCACAGTTTCCAGACTGTACAGGGATGTTTGATATATGAGGCTTCATTATTCTCTGCAAATTTTAAGGCTCGTCTGTAGGAAGTGTAGGACAGGGATAGTAAAACTGAGCGTTTAACATTGCTGCAAGAAAACATATATGTGAGGTTGTACTATATTGATTGTGATTCGCACTGAACAATTGATAATCTCTGCAGGCCGGCGGGAGCCTCTTCTATTCTCCAAATGTGGTGGATGTTGTGTAGGAGGACTTTTACTGGAGGCTTTGACTGAGACAAATGGTCAGAATTTAGAATAACTAGAAGCAAAATAAAAAAATCCAAGTTTTGTAATGACTTGCAGTCGGGGGAGTTGACCCACTGCAGTTTTTCTGTGACTGTCTGGCTGCGCACAGGTTTAATTTGTCTTTTACTTCTCAACACAAATCAGCAATGCTAGAGCTTTCTGCACCTTGCAAAAAGCCAATCTGCCACTTGACTGAGTTTACCCATGCCCTGATTGACCTACACTGAGCTGGATGATGTTTCTGTTTTTCCAATGGATCTCGAGCAGAATCCTTCTATTCTAGACGCTACGCTGGTAGAGTGTGTGCACAAAAACTAAAATAAAACTGCACTTGAACTGCTGACGCACAGGACACAATTAAACCTTCTTAGCTTTTTATAGATTGATGGGTTTGGGAGGAAAGGAGCTGAAGGTGATACAAGGGGAAATTATTCTACCCAGTTTTATTTATCCGCTTGTCTGGCCTCTTGGATTACCACACCATCTCTGTCATCATCAGCTATGCTTTCAGCTCACAAGGCAAAACAACAGTTAATCCCAAAGAAAAGCTAAATTTACAAGTTGACAAAAATGCTGTGATTTCTGTTATTTCAGCATATTTAAGTCATTTAAAATAATCTTCTTGGGATTATTAACATTGAGAAGAAATGTCCCTTTGATTCCAGTTTTTGGACCAATCAATGCACTGATAGACAGGAGCTCTACAATGGCTGAAGATGAAGTAATAGGGGTTTGAGGTAAACAAGACAAGCATGATTAATCTGCAGCCACTGGACCTCCCTGTGCATGTCCCACAAGTATCCCTCAAAGATGTGATAGTGTGCAGATTTCCTGTAACAGTGAATGAATACATACCTCTGAGTATTTAGGTTATATTGCAAAGGGTAATACATGTGGTCACTTCTTAATGATTTGTATAGCTGCAGTTTTAATAAGGATCTACTGTATAGATGTATAATTTAATAATAAAATGGAGAATATTGCTAAACATTCCTGCTTGAATTCTTGCAAACACGTCACATATTTTATATAACACTGGCCTCTTTTTTGTCTTAATATTTAAACTTTTTTTTCAATATGCATCAGAACTATGCAAGTAAATCCTACATAACCCAACGTTCATGTTGTAAGTAGAATCTAATTACTTTGGAGGATAAAAATTCCCTTAAAAGCAACAAAAACCAATTGATGTTATAATACAACAACAACTACAGTAAACACCCTATGTCATAATAGTCACCAAGACATGCTTGGAAAAAGTAAAATTAAAATTTGAATTATTTCTGTCACTCCAATACTCATCATGGAGTAGGCGCCTTTTTTATTTTCTAATTCTGATGTTTATTCAGAAAAAATGTTTCCCATTATTTCTTCATGTAAATAAATAAATCATAGAGAAATTCCACATAAAACATACCTCTGCTTGATGTTACAAACTTTTGAAAGGCATTAACCATTTATGAATATTTCTTCTTAATTCTCTTGGACAGTTTAATCTCATTTTAATTCGGTTTTGCATGTTTTGATCTGAACATCTCTCTTAGGTTTTCCGATTCATTCCCTTGGAAGATAATGCTGGGAAGAATTCTTAATCATTTCTTGCATTCATATCACACTTCCTTGGCCTTATTGTTACTTTATTAACACCAGTGTGGCTTATAGAGTTACTGTAACAGCTTTACATTAGGCTGATTAGGCTTAACTTGAACAGACTGAGAGGAGAGACAACAGCAGAGACACTGATTCTATGACAGTAGTCCTAAAGGAAAGGCTTAATGCTCCAGCTTTTTGCTCATTATGTGCAGAAACAATGACTTGATGTACCTGGGTTAGAAACATCTCTAATCTAAAGAAGATCTATTTATCATCTCAGCCCTGACTGACCACATTCACTTACATTGTTTTCTGTTTTTCAACGTAATAATAATAAT